TCAGCGGGGCGTTTCCATGGGGACTTCTCGCCGAAAAGTCATTTCGACAGACGCATCCAACATGGGTTGGGGTGCGGTCTGCGAGGGCTCACCGGCCTTCGGCCCCTGGTCAGCTCAGGAGAGTCTCCTCCACATAAACTGTTTGGAGATGCTGGCGGTCGAGAACGCGCTCACGCGCTTTCTGCCGCGCATTCACGGTCACCATGTGTTGATCCGTTCGGACAATATGGCTGTGGTCTCCTATCTAAACCGTCAGGGCGGAGTCAGATCCAGAAATCTCTTCCGGCTGACAGAACGCATCCTAGTTTGGTCCCAGTGTCACCTGCTCTCGCTCAGAGCGACGCACGTGCCGGGCCATCTGAACGACGGTCCAGACAGTCTGTCCAGGAACCCCATTCCCCCTGGCGAATGGTCCCTGCACACTCTTACAGTCCAAAAGCTGTGGCGGATATTCGGCAGAGCAGAGGTGGACCTCTTCGCCTCAGAAGAAAACACCCACTGCCCAATATTTTTCTCAAAACGCGAGGACGCGCTAGCCCAGACCTGGCCCAGCCGCCCGCTTTATGCATTCCCTCCGGTTTCTCTGCTACCGCAGGTGCTTCAGAGAATCAGGGAAACACGCCACTCGGTGCTCCTCATAGCCCCGCGTTGGGAAGGTCAGACTTGGTTTCCGGAGCTCACTCAGCTGTCACAGACAGCCCCGTGGCCCATTCCAGTCAGAACAGATCTCCTCTCCCAAGCTCGCGGCACGATCTGGCATCCCCACCCAGAGCGCTGGGCGCTTCATGCGTGGGTGATCAACGACTACCCGTTGCTTTGCCAGAAGGAGTGTTAAACACGATCATGCAGGCTAGAGCGGCTTCTACTAGAAGGCTCTATGCGTCTAAATGGTCTGTGTTCTCTAAGTGGTGCACCGACAGAAATGTGGACCCACGATCATGCAAGGTTCCTTCCTTGCTAGTTTTTCTCCAAGAGATGCTGGACAAGGGCAGGTCCCCATCCACTCTCAAGGTGTATGTGGCAGCCGTCGCGGCGTTCGCTGAACCCCGGCGCGGCCAGTCACTGGGCAAAGATGGCTTAGTCATCCGCTTCCTCAGGGGAGCTAGAAGGATGAACCCCTCACGCCCCCCGTCGGTGCCGATTTGGGACCTTTCCATAGTTCTCGAAGCTATGAAAGCCCCCCCATTCGAACCGTTAAACACCGTGGATCTCAAATACCTTTCGCTCAAAACCATCTTCCTGCTCGCGCTCGCGTCAGTGAAGCGTGTGGGAGACCTTCACGCGCTGTCCAGTTGCGCTTCCTGTCTGGAGTTTGGGCCCAATGACTCCTTAGTCGTTCTCAAACCTAGACATGGTTATGTCCCAAAAGCGATTGGTACCCCATTCAGGGCACAAGTTATTTCCCTATCGGCTCTGCCTGCATCCGATAGCGAATCTGACTCCAATCTCCTGTGTCCGGTCAGGGCCCTGAGATTATACTTTACTCGCACTGCTCCGGTCAGACGAGCTGAGCAGCTTTTTGTTTCGTTCGGTGGGCGCACCAAGGGGTTGGCCGCCTCGAAACAGACTCTGTCCAGATGGATAGTTGATGCCATTGCAGCCGCATACGCGTCAAAAGACCTGCCATGCCCTCTGGGCATCAGGGCCCATTCCACTAGAGGCATGGCCTCATCGTGGGCTTGGTCCAGCGGAATTTCCATTCATGATATTTGTGTGGCAGCGGGATGGGCTTCCCCCTCCACCTTTATCAGATTTTACAATCTGGAAGTTCCCGCCTTGCAGGCTAAACTACTAGCAGTCTAGTATGTTACAGCTCTTCTGGTTGAGCTGCACTATAGGGAGTTATTCACGCAGACCGGTCTCGTTCTGTCCCTCCTTATCATGTGCTTATGTACTTCACAATCCCCGGCCCGCTCCGCTGGCCTTTGTCACATGAACATATTTTATTCCCACTCATAAGGGTTCCCCGGGGTCCCCCCCTGGGACTCATAGTGGATGCTTAGCACGCACGGCGTTGACCAGGTGTTCCCGCAGCGTAAGCTAGCTTACGCAATACGAGAGAACCTCTCGTAAGAGAACGAATCGGTTACCTAACGTAACCTCGGTTCTCTCTAGATGAGGGAACGAGTATTGCGTTCCTGGCCGTGCTTGTGCTACTAGCGTTCTCGCTTCATTCTATGAAAACCAGAGTTTGCAGCCTGAGAGGCGAATTTATACTCTCTGGCCACGCCCGTTTCGGCGGGCTCTGACGCAATGAGAGCAGGTCAGACAATCATTGGCCGAGAGTTCATTCGTGTCTCCTCATAGGCTTAAGCAGTTCCCTGTGAGCGAGCCAATGAGCTGCTAGCTAGCCTGCTCATGCTCTGCTGCAGCTGAACTGCGTTGACAATGGATACAAAATTATAGGATAATTTTTGGCTTCAATTTCTCAGAAAAGATGAATCTTTCCCGCAGCGTAAGCTAGCTTACGCAATACTCGTTCCCTCATCTAGAGAGAACCGAGGTTACGTTAGGTAACCGATTCGTTTTTCGACATGCGCGCTGTACACGGTAGACCAATCACAACAGACTGAGCTGTCTGGCCAATCAGAGCAGAGTAGCTCGCAGAAAGGAGGGATTTAGAGAGATTGATTCATCTGACGAGTCGTTTGAGAATCATTGAAAACGTGGTGATGTGCAAATGTATATTATGATGAGGAAATTAAACAGTTTTTTTTACCTTTGATGCATGTAAACCTGTTGTAGGAGACTCCAGGGAACTTTAAAATAGCATAATAGGGGAACTTTAAAGCACCTTGTGGTTATTTTTTACATACTTTCTTAATTATGCATATTTTTGTTGATTCATTTATTGAAATATATCATTTTTTGTTTATTAAATACTTTGGCTATATACACTCACCGGCCACTTTATTAGGTACACCTGTCCAACTGCTCGTTAACACTTAATTTCTAAGCAGCCAATCACATGGCGGCAACTCAGTGCATTTAGGCATGTAGACATGGTCAAGACAATCTCCTGCAGTTCAAACCGAGCATCAGTATGGGGAAGAAAGTTGATTTGAGTGACTTTGAACGTGGCATGATTGTTGGTGCCAGAAGGGCTGGTCTGAGTATTTCAGAAACTGCTAATCTACTGGGATTTTCACGCACAACCATCTCTAGGGTTTACAGAGAATGGTCCGAAAAAGAAAAAACATCCAGTGAGCGGCAGTTCTGTGGGCGGAAATGCCTTGTTGATGCCAGAGGTCAGAGGAGAATGGCCAGACTGGTTCGAGCTGATAGAAGGGCAACAGTGACTGAAATAACCACTCGTTACAACCGAGGTATGCAGCAAAGCATTTTTGAAGCCACAACACGCACAACCTTGAGGCGGATGGGCTACAACAGCAGAAGACTCCACCGGGTACCACTCATCTCCACTACAAATAGAAAAAGAGGCAATTTGCAAGAGCTCACCAAAATTGAACAGTTGAAGACTGGAAAAATGTTGCCTGGTCTGATGAGTCTCGATTTCTGTTGAGACATTGAGATGTTAGAGTCAGAATTTGGCGTAAACAGAATGAGAACATGGAACCATCATGCCTTGTTACCACTGTGCAGGCTGGTGGTGGTGGTGTAATGGTGTGGGGGATGTTTTCCTGGCACACTTTAGGCCCCTTAGTGCCAATTGGGCATCGTTTAAATGCCACGGCCTACCTGAGCATTGTTTCTGACCATGTCCATCCCTTTATGGCCACCATGTACCCATCCTCTGATGGCTACTTCCACCATGTCACAAAGCTCTAATCATTTCAAATTGGTTTCTTGAACATGACAATGAGTTCACTGTACTAAAATGGCCTCCACAGTCACCAGATATCAACCCAATAGAGCATCTTTGGGATGTGGTGGAACGGGAGATTCGCATCATGGATGTGCAGCCGACAAATCTGCGGCAACTGTGTGATGCCATCATGTCAATATGGACCAAACTCCCTGAGGAATGCTTCCAGCACCTTGTTGAATCTATGCCACGAAGAATTGAGGCAGTTCTGAAGGCAAAAGGGGGTCCAACCCGTTACTAGCATGGGGTACCTAATAAAGTGGCCGGTGAGTGTATATATATATATATAGTATGTAGTGTATAGTGTATAGCCTATATGAGTGGCTACAGAAAAAAAAGAGACTGTAACCGGGCCCATGCGAAAACAAGGATAATATCGGAAGGGCATTAAATGTAGTCACGCAAATGCTGATGTTGTTAACATTAACAATTTGAGAACAAAGTATAATTTGCACGGTTTGACGTGATATGATAAGCGATCGTTAGATTTAATCAGCGCGATTTGCTGCAATGCTTTTTTCCCCCTTAGTTGGTCAGAACAAAAGTGGATGTTACTTACTTGTTCAGATGATATTTACCGGTGAAAAATCTTATGTTGGTCATACTTCCAAAAAGTAGAATCTGTGATTCCGAATGACAGTATCCACACCGGCGCGGTGACTGACAGCCTCACATTCTTCTCAAAGAAAAAGCACAACTGTTTTTAACATAAATGTTTCTTGGGCAGCAATTCAGCATATTAGCATGATTTCTGAAGGATCATGTGATACTGAAGACTGAGGTAATGATGCTGAAAATTCAGATGTGTCAGAACATGGATAAATTAAATTTTAAAATACATAAAAAAAAAAAAAAAACTTTTAAATTGCAATTTCACAAGATTCTGTTTTTACAATATTTTTTTATCAAATAAATGCAGGCTTGCTGAGCATAAGAGACTTAATATTTTCCTAATATATTCATTTAATTCCAGTAAATGCTTCTCACAAAGAGATTATTTTATCATGACACTGAAATTCTGCCAGCCATCTTCAGAGCTCTCTCGGCCACCGTAATTTTGACTAAACTTCCTTTCTCACATAAACTCCGCCTGTCATCATATGACTCTGTAAGACTATGAACAGGAAAAGGATCCTGGAGCAGTAACACCCTTCCTCTGTCAAAAAGTGGAAGTCGATCAGCAGTCATGAATCTCACTGACTGTCAGTACCGTTTTAAAATGATCATGATAGGTTACAATAATGTGGGAAAGTCATGTATGCTGAGGCGCTACACAGAGGGCCTGTATCCAGAGAGAATCAATTGTACTATTGGAGTGGACTTCTGCAGTCACATCCTAGAAGTGGAGCCTGAGGTGAGAGTGAATCTACAGATTTTCGATACAGCCGGTCATAAATTGTTTTGGTAAGCACTGAGAAATCACAGCATCTGCACCTTTGCATTCTCAAAGTCATATTGAAGTGTTGTCAAGTGTTGTACATGAAAATTCTTCACCTTTTTCAGTTCACTCAAAAAATATTTAGGCCTAAATTTAAGATTGATGTATTTTGAATTACATGTTAAATTTCCATCCATTTGGTTTTCACAATGAACAGATGTATGCTGATTCTAAACATTTTGAGTGAATGCATTTTGAAAATATTATTATTTAAAATACAGTCAAATAGACGCAGATGATTAACAAATTATGGCATGAATTTTTTGAGTGCAAATACAAATATACAACAGTTAAGTTTAATAATTTGTTTGTTAAAACGGTGTAATCCAAGTGGGTTACATAATTCAAATAGGCCTACATAAATCTTACATTTAGTCCTAAATATTTGAAAATAATTTTTTCATGCATACTTTTTAAAGGCACCTAACATAATGCAGAGTGTGTGTGACTTCATGAGCTCTCATGCTTTCAGGCCTGCTATCTGCCGTTTCATCCCTCAATCGGTCGGATGCCTGCTGGTGTTTGACCTGGGTGATCGGGAGTCTTTCGACTACATTAAGCATCGGCACAAGGTGGTGTGCAATATTGCGCAGCCGTACACTGTGCTCTTCATGCTTGTGGGACACAAGTGCGACATAAAAGAGCAGGAGGTGAATCAATACGAGGTGGAAGAGTTTGCAAGTGAATTGGGAGCGCCGTACATCGAAGCCTCTGCCATAACAGGCCACAATGTGGCAGAAGCTTTTGAACTGTTGACCCGGCGTATTTATCAGGGTTATCTGAGTGGAGAGGTGCGGTTGCATGAGAGCTGGGGCAAGATCCATAAAAATAAGGCAGCGGAAAACAACAAATGAAGTCAACATGAAACTGCATGTTTTCTATTTTATGGCTATTCAAATGTAATCATGTATTTTGAAAAAAAAAAAAAAAAATCAAGACATAAATCACATAAAATCACAAACATTTAATTACATATTCCATTCCAAGCGCCGGTGACTGATTTCTGATTGTTCTTTAACTGATATATACTGTATTTTAAATGTTATTATCTTTTTATGTGTATAAAATACACTTACATATACTTAATTTAACAGGTTCATTTCATTCAAGTGCTTTGTGGTTATTTTGCATACTTGCTTACTTGTTTTTTTTATTATTATTATTTAGATTTTTTGTTTATTCATGTTTGTTTATTAAATATTTGACTAATTTGATTTTGCTTTTATGATGAATGTAGTAGTACATAGCTTTTACCAAGTTTGAATACTTTTTTCACAGATTTCCCATCAAGATCACAGCAGAAAACACAAAACAGTCAGCATGAGCCTCAGTAAAGCTTGAACTTCCTTTTACGGCTGATTTTTTCTTTTCCTTTACGGATGTTTAGCACATAGACAGTATAAGTGTTTAGCATCATTGTCATAGAGAAATATCGTCCCCTAGCGGCCATCAAGAAAAATTCATTCAAGCACTGATCTAGATCAGTGATTACAATTTACAAGGTGTTTTAATGAAAGAAACGCTACAAAAAAAATGCATAAATTATTTAATAATAAATTATTTCCAGCAGTATGAGGAGTCGTGACTCGTGAGTAAACTGTCATGTTTTAATGGCTATTTTAGTACTTTTAAGTGTATTATACGAACTAAATTACGAGTCTTGTTTAAACGTATGCTTTCTCGCTTCACTGGATACCCACACTTGCTAGTTGCTAACCTGGTATAACTACTTTCATGCCAAGTTTCTTAAGTGCACTTAGACCCTATTGGTGGCTTTTTGTGCTTCAGTACATACAAAACCGGATAGCAGTAACATACTGTGGATAGTTCTACAATTAAAGCCTCATTTGAGTTATAAAGTAGTCCACTAAACTAAAGTAACCGAAAACAAAGTGAAACACTATTTATAGCTCAAGCTAGCCTAAATCGTCTGTCTGTCTGTCTGTCTGTCTGTCTGTGTCCTAAGGGAGTCAGTTCCATTGTTGTTCACCTCCTGTTTGGAAAGCCTCATAATAATGGAAACTAACCTGTAATGCACACTGTTGGTGAGGAATATGGTGGGCTTGATTTCATCATGACATTGGAAGTCTTCCAGCCATCTTCAGAGGTTATGACCTGGGTGGAAGCATTCTTATGGTTGGCCTATTGAGAAAGTCTTAGCTGAAATGTTTTTGCTCATCATTACACATGCTTTTACGTGATGCATGCCACTAGCTGGCCTCAACAGGAAATGCTGGGCTTGTCCTGATATGATACTGCGTGCTCATTCCCTCTGGTCTATGAGAAATTCCAAACTTTCTGCTGGTATTTATAAACTCCGCCCCTCACATAAACCCTGCCCACTAACAAGTATGAACAGGCAAAGATTAAAGAAACAGATCAAGTAGACACTCCCAACCCTAAAACGTTCACACAGATGCTGCTCTTTGCAGAAAAACACAGGGGAACCTAAGGAACTATGGGTTATTTAACATGAGAACTTCAAGTACTCTAAGGTAAGGGGTTCTCTGGTCAAATATCCAAGGATCTTGGTGGAGTGACAGTTTTTAGTGAACTCTAGCCTTTTCATTTATCACGTTAGTTTTAGCTCTTGGTAGTCATGGATCTCACATTGTGGCAGTACCAGTTTCGAATCATCATGCTAGGAGACTCCACGGTGGGCAAGTCATCCATGTTGAAGCGATACACAGAGGACCTGTTTCTGGAGTGCATCAACCAGACTGTCGGAGTAGACTTCTATGTACACTTCCTAGAGGTCGAACCTGGAGTGAGGGTCAAACTGCAGTTCTGGGATACAGCTGGTCAGGAGAGGTTTAGGTAAGTCCAAACATTCAAGCTTTTGAAAGTTCTACCATGAATTGAATGAACTGCATTCTGCTAATCCTATACTTAAAGGCATACTCCACCCAAAAATGAAAATTCTCTCATCATTGACTCCGTCCCAGATTATTCTGTGGAACACAAATGGAGGTTTTTGGAAAATTGATCCATCTCTGAGTCTATATAATGCAAGTGGATAATAACCCAAAATTTGACGCTTCAAAAACCACACAAAACAAACACGATGGTAATCCATACAGGTGAGGAACGAATGTCTTCTGAAGAAAAACGATAGGTTTGAATGAGAAAAATACTGATATTTGAATCTTCGTCATCGCTTCATATGGTTTATATTTTATATGCGTGTTCACTTGTGCGCCCTCTGTAATTCCACGTTTACGTCAAGCTAGTCTCAGCCTCAGACGTCACGCCCACGGACGGTTGGCTGAACGTCTGATGCATATGGCACACTTTTCTGGAAACACTTCAGGAGTTTCGAAGTCGTGATCTGATTGGTTGAATTCTACAGGATGTTCGGGAGACGTGTGTGTCGCGTTCTTTAACGGTCCGCCTGGAAACAAATGCCGTGACGCCAAAACCCCTCGTGGAAGAAGAACGCCGTCGAACGCTTATCAGGATCAACTAAACGCTAGATTTTCAAAAGTATGTGAAGTTTGCGGCTCCATTGTTGCAGTAAACTTGCACAAGACAACGTTCTTGAATGAATAATTTATAGATGCATTGCCGGTCTGTTATTGCAGGGATATCAACATTATATTTTCACGCCCCTAAACATGACGCGGAACAAAACGAACTGTGATTGGTTGTGTTACATGTCAGTGAAACGTCCTCTTGGGCGGTCCTTGGCCAAGAAAAGCTGCGATAGAGACCAGACCTTCTGCCGTCAGTCTAAAAGTCTGGCTACACGAGACTAACGTCAAGCAAACACATATATGACAGCTAGCCATGGTAGTTAGAATTGTATAAAACATTATTTTCTCACACAAACATTTCACTTCAGAAAACATTACTTCATCAAAAGGTGCTGTATGGATTTCCGTCATGTCCATTTTGTGTGTTTTTTTAACTGTCAACTTGCATTATGCTCTTGCTCCTGGAGGGCCTCTGTCCTGCAGAGTTTAGCTCCAACTTGCCTCAACACACCTGCCTGGAAGTTGGTAGTGTGCCTAGCAAGACCTTGATTAGCTGGTTCAGGTGTGTTTTAATTGGGGGTTGAGCTAATTTGACAGGACAGTTGACCTCTGGGAGCAGGGTTGGGCATCCCTGAGACTATTTTGAGTATTTTTTCAAAATAATCTTTGTGAAGAAAAAAGTTTGTGTTCTACAGAAGAAAGTCATATACATCTGGAACTGCATGAAGGTGAGTAAATGATAAGAGAGACTTTTAACTTTGGGGTGGAGTATCCCTTTTAAGGTGAACAATCCACAGTTGTCCAAATGGAGATAGAAGAAGGACTGTTTTCCCCTGAAAGTATCTTCTGTACGTTTAGTCAGATGTTCAGTCTCTAAAAACAGTTTAAAGAAGTTGCCTTGCTTCTGTAAAACAGAATTGTGAAACATATTACTCATCACGGCAGCAAGTACTCTTGTGATACTTCCAGGAAGTATGTTGTCAGTCTATACTATAAATGGATTCACACTGTCTACAGTGTGGGCTTGGCCCACTTAACTGTCCCACCCAGGCAACCGTTTGGCCCACCTGAAATGGCTTATAGCCCATCTAGCATCTTTGAGCTGGAGTTGGGCCTGTTCACTGGTATGCATAAATGACTTTAAAGACATAGTTCACCCCAAAAGGAAATTACTCACCCTCATGTCATTCCAATGTCTCATGGGTGGCAAGCCTTGTGATGAGGGGGAGGAGGCACTTATTTAACAATAAATATTGCTTTGAGGTATCAAGCCATTTTTTCACTGCAAAAATGATGTGGATGACCTGAAAAGGTGAGAGCCACCTCTGCATTGGCTTGTAAGGGGGTTTAAACCCCTGAAAGTCAACATGATTTGACATATAAACTCATGTAATTGATCAGATTCTATACATACCAAGATGGTTCACTCATAATATTACTATCATCCAGTTTACCAATTGGCCAGTTGCCAATTGAAGCTCCAGTTCTGAGATGTCTCTCATCCTAAGATGGGCACTTTTCCATGCACATTGGAGGGACCGATGCTATTTGAGGATAAGAAACAACGTTTATGGGGTAGTTCATGTCAGATGTTATTGCTGAGATTTGATGTTATTTAAATGTTAACTTGGCAAGCAGTTTTTGAGATTTTAGTATTTCCCCATTCAACTAGATAGGAGTTGGTCTTGCATGCCTAAAATAGCTGCCTGGAGGCATTGCAAAAATGGCTATAGAGTGAATTGACTTTCCTTGAAAAGGCCTTTGGAATGATACAGAATATCCAATGAGAATTTTTTTTGGGATTTTATCTAATGGGAATTGATTGGCTGGTAAAAAGAGGCCGGAATGGAGCCATAATTAATGTAATGTATAAATACATGATTGATTATCATTGTACAAAGGTCTGGAAAGAATCATCCTTCAACTATGGTACATTTACAGGTCTGTGACTCGCTCCTACTACCGGAACTCAGTCGGAGGTCTTCTGGTATTCGATCTGGCCAACCGCAAATCTTTCGAAAATGTGCAGCAGTGGCACGCGGAGGTGTCAGAACGTGTGGAGCCCTACACAGTGCTCTTCGTGTTGGTGGGACACAAGAGTGACCGGGACAAGGCCGGAGAGCGAGCTGTGAACCGAACCGAGGCAGAAAAGCTTGCAAGCCAATTGGGAGCGCCGTACATCGAGGCCTCGGCCAAAACGGGTCACAACGTGAAAGAGGCCTTCGATCTCTTGACCCGAAGGGTTTACCAGGGCTTGAAAAGCGGAGAGATCCAGTTGCGTGAGGGGTGGGATGGAGTCAAGAGCTCAGCTCCTACAGCCCAAATGTCCCAGAAGATACACAACAATGAAGCTGCTGAGAAAAACAAGAGCTGTGCTTGTTAACTTAAAATATATCGCAACCTTTGAGTACAGTTCTTCAAATAGGAAGGATCAGTCTGACATTGCCAAATACACCTACAACTAATCTCTAGGACTTTAAGATGTAAGATTGAAGGTATTACATTTGATCAGACAGATCTTTCTTCATGGCATGGATAATATATGCTTTTCTGCAAGATTTCAGCATTTGTAAACCACACTGAAACACTTAACGTCATTTACATACATGTGCACATTTGATTTCCAAATGTTTGTTCATATTTCTAGGCTTAACTTTGGATAAACATTTTTTAGTGTGGCATCAGTGTTACTCCATCAGTTGAAAAAAAAAATCGTTTTTATTTCCACATTACTTTAGCACATGACCACATAATTCCATAAACATGGATTTGTTTTAGTTGATACAGGAAGGGCTGCCTGAAAATCATAGAATTCAGAATTACATGACATTCCGAAGGTTTTTAAGAGCTAATCCTGTAGATTTGTAAATGATTCACTAATATTTGACTTTCATAGATAAAGGGAGATTTTAGATGTCTAGACACATTGCTGAAACAGTTTGTCTTGGTTATTACTTCTGATATGATGTCAGTCCAACACAATGCGAGTGAGTTCAGTGTGAATAAATCACAATTAAGTTTTTTATTCATGAAAAACAGGAGACTGTAAAACACTGTGATACACGGCCAAAAAAAACAAAAACAATTTAGGTTATACTCAGTTTAACTCAACTTTTTTTTCTTTTCTTTTTTAATCTGCCCACAGCAGGTGGGGTTTACACACCATTTCCCACGTCACATATATAACCCCCTCTAACAATTAACATCTGCATTATGTCACTAGTTCCAATGCAATTAATTACATGGGGAAGTGGTATTTATTTCTCTGGTAAAAATGACGGTTTACCTTTAGAAAGTCACACACTGAGGATTTCTCTATAGTACTTAATATTACTTAAGTGACGAGTTCTATAACACCGAACATTATAAACAAATCAGACACATGGTGATTGTAATTGTGCATAGCTACTAATGCCAGCTGAGCAGAAGTTGTGCGACTGCATGATGGCGGGTCAACTAAACATGTAATATGAATAAAAATGTGGTTTGTGGGTGAAACAATAAAAAAAAAGATGTTTTTTTTTTACAGAGATCTGTGAGATTCTATCATTTAGTAAAACCCCAGTATAGCACCAAGGTGCTCAAACAAAATGCTCACATGGTGATTTAACACAAAGTGAACTGTACAGACAAATGACATCAATTCCTGCACACCTTTTGAATGGGAAATGTCAAAAGAGGTGTACTGCAAACAGTACAACGCATTCTTCCTCTTTGATTAACATAACATGTATAGGTTCAAACCCTATCCACTTCCAAAACTTCCAGGGGAAAAAAATGTTTGTTGGTACTTCCGATCTTGCTACTTTTTGGTTGTTTTGCGGATCAATGCCATTCTCTGAAGGAACAGAAATAGATATTTAGTTATGCAAGTCATTTGTTTTTCAAAATCATCTTGAGAGATCAGTTTAAGTGCATGAGAGCGATGGCTGACCTGTTTGTGGGCTTCTGTGGTGCATGCTTTCTTATACGGCCGGATCTCATCTGACCCAAAACCAGGAATCCACATGTTCCACTGTCGTTCTGTAATTCAATATTAATGCAATTCCTTAGATAGTCATTCAAACAATCTGCAATTGGCCTTGATTTAACAACTTATAGGATACATGATGTATGCTGCACCTTTATTTTTTATAAAAGTACTAGTATAGTAAGAAAATTCATTTAAACCACTGGGAACTGCATATTCAAGACCCTCACCAAGGTGAAGCTGGACATCTTTCACTTCAAGAGTATTTGACTTCCTGTGTCGTGCAAGTTGGCATGCAGCAGTCACCACGCTCTCAATGAAATCATCAGCAATCTGCAAGAGCATCTGAAGGGAATGGGAAAAGACTCAACAGGTCAACAGACAGCAGTGTAGTGACAGTCAGCAAGTCCTTTTACTGTCTGTCAGCAAAGCACCAACACACACACACACACACACACACACACACATATATATATATATATTTACACATAAGAATATAACATACTACCATTCAGAAGTTAAGGGGTTGGTAAGATTTATTTCTCTTATGCTCACCAAGGCTCTAACGTTATTTATTGGATCAAAAATACTGTAACAAACCAGCAATAGTGTTAAATATTATTACAATTTGAAATAACTGTTGTCTATTTTAATATATCTTAAAATGTAATTTATTTCTGTGAAGCAAAGCAGAATTTTCAGCATCATTACTCCAGTCTTCAGTGTCACATGATCCTTTAGAAATCATTCTAATATGCTGATTTGCTATTCAAGAAACATTTCTTATTATTATCAATGTTGAAAACAGTTGTGCTGCTTAATATTTTTGTGGACATCATAATACATTAAATTTTTTGATGAATACAAAGTTCAAAAGAACAGCATTTATTTTGTAACATTTGTAAATGTCTTTACTGATATTTTTTGTTCAATTTAATGCATCCTTGCTAAATAAAAGTATTATAATGTTAATATAAAATAATTCTAAGCACTGAGCTGAAAAGAAGGAAAATGGACAGTAGGGACCAGAACTGACTAGTTTATACAGACCTTTTATGATGTTTAGGACTTTTTAGTGGATATAAAGGGACATTTCTCATCTCAAACTGCAACAATTAACTATTATAAAACGTTTCCTCATGACTGAGTAGTTCAGGCAACCCACTGACTTGTCAATTATGAAAATATCACTAATAATACGTCATATTAAGTACCTCCTCCACATCCTCATCGAGCTGCTCATTAGGGTCAATTTCACGCACAAGGTCCTGCAGCTTCTTCTTGCTGAGCACCTGTAGGGAAGATATAAGATCCTAAATGTTATGAGGAATACAAATAGAGTAAGAATCTAATACATTTGAACAGCTATAGTGTCTCACCTGAGTGCCTTCAGGACTCAGTCTTCCTGCAGGTCCAGGGGCGCCTGGAACTTTACCGGGGACGACGGTGCTGTTGGCCATGTTGGTGGAGAGGGGAGGTGTTGAAGAGGCTTCTGCTTTCACAACAGCGTAGAAGTTAGAGCGACTAGTCTGTGGAGGGTACTGGGTCATACTATGATAGTCAAGAGATATCTGTCACGAGCCTCTTCAAAGCCAGCGTGAGGTCTATTCAGCTGCAAAAAAAGGTATTAAGAGAGATTATATTGAGTTGAATCAATGCATACCATATATAAACGATCTTAAATGTTATTTTAGGTCCACTAACAAAACCAAGAACTTTTAAGAGCCACTCGGTGCACAGTGCTCACTAGGAAAAACATCACAGATCTGTCAATCGCTCTGCAGGCTAACGACTTTAGCTTTTTAGCTTTGCTGATGTGTTCTGAGATGATGATTAACTAAACTATTTGGACAAACGGGGATTTAATGGTGCCATTAATAGATTTAGCAATACAAATTAACAAATAAATCTTTTTTTTTTTCCAAATGTCTTCGTGGTTGCTGTTATTCATCACCGAACACCGATCATCTTCAGCTCAACATATTAGCAGCTAGCGAGTAAACATTGGTGCCAATCCACGTCTCGTGATGCTTTCCTTTGGTTTCATGTAATCCTGTTAGATGGTAAATTAGTGTGATACCTGATCCAAATAATTTTGTATTATCTTCCCATCTTCGACATTTATAAATTGGAATTATTCAGAAGCCCATATCATTTGATGTTGTTCCTTCTACAAGCGCCTCTTCTGGCGAACGGAGCTCAGCCGAAATATCGCGAGATCATCTGAGGGAATTTCAGGGAGTTTTACAAAATAAAAGCAGTTAGAAAATCAAAAGCTCTTCCTCGGAGGACAAATAGACGTTTCTTCCAAAGTACATGTTTGTAATAGTAAAAAAAAATATATATATATATATAATTTGCATTTACCGTTTATAGAATTAACTGGTTTTCTCTGTGTAAACATTGACACAATGTTTAATTCTTATGAATATACTTTTAAAGCTGTGTATTATTCTTCTGGTGTATATTTATTTTGGTCTTGCCCCATATGATTTCACTATAAGTAAATCACTATACACAGACCACTTAAAAATGACACATAAGCCTTTTTATTCATTTATTCAAGTTCATCATTTTTTATGTCATAAATATGTTTTTTACGATTATGTGGATATTCCCCCTTTAAGAGAGTGATGGAAATTTGATTTCAGAGATCTCCGAGTCTGGTGAACTACTGCCACTTCGGTCACTGTATGCGTCTCTGAGAGATAGAGAGAAAAGAAAAAAAACAAGATAATGAGACAATCTATATGCTAGTTGTCTCCACTTTAAATAGTTAAGCTGATATGAGAGAATTTACTAGGCAACAAACCGTGGTGAGAGCCGGCATCCTTTCTGTAGGTAGTTCTGTAGTTTCCCAGATGCTGCCAGTAAAAGGCCAAAATAAGGAGGCGAGGGTTTAATGGGGCGAGAAGTGAATTCTGGGTGGTACTGCACTCCGACAAAATAAGTTTGATCTGCTGTGACAGAAGAAACGAGCTGAAGCGAATACTGACTTACAACTTCTCCATACATAGGTTCAGATACTGGACATGCACTGACCTTCAAGTTCAATGATCTCCATCCGTTCCCCCTCCGGGTCCTGACCCACAAATCGAAAGCCTCTATCCTCAAAATGGTGCTTCAGTTCTGGATTCACCTGGAAAAATGCAAAAGGAACTGATTGAGCTAATGGGATTAATGATTAATAATTTTTGCAATTATTACTATTGTGAACCTCAAAGCGATGCCGATGCCTTTCGTCCACATATTCAGCATCTCCGTACAGCTTTCCTACAGCAAAATTCGTAAACATGCATATTTAAAACCTTTCAAAACAGTATAAGTTTCTATTTTTGTGATATGTGACCTTCACATTTTACAATGGCACAAAAAAATCACAACTTACGGAGAACGCTGGAGGTGTTTTTGAATAAGGTACGCCTTTTCCCTAACCGCATGGTTCCTCCCATCTGCCCAGGATTGTGCTCAGGCATTTCAATCACCTGGGTTAAAAAAAAAAGATCTCAACACACCACGCAAAAAGAGGAATCATTATGCAGAAATT